GGAGGTGTACCTGTGGATGTATTTCAAGGCCTACCTTCAAACTCAGTGCCTCCTTGCTTGACATCATGGGAAAATCAAAAGAAATCAGCCAAGACCTCAGAAAAAAAATTGTAGACCTCCACAAGTCTGGTTCATCCTTGGGAGCAATTTCCAAACGCCTGAAGGTACCATGTTCATCTGTACAAACAATAGTACGCAAGTATAAACACCATGGGACCACGCAGCCGTCATACCGCTCAGGAAGGAGACGCGTTCTGTCTCCTAGAGATGAACGTACTTTGGTGCGAAAAGTGCAAATCAATCCCAGAACAACAGCATAGGACCTTGTGAAGATGCTGGAGGAAACAGGTAGAAAAGTATCTATATCCACAGTAAATCGAGTCCTATTTCGACATAACCTGAAAGGCCGCTCAGCAAGGAAGAAGCCACTGCTCCAAAACCGCCATAAAAAAGCCAGACTATGGTTTGCAACTGTACATGTGGACAAAGATCGTACTTTTTGGAAAAATGTCCTCTGGTCTGATGAAACAAAAATAGAACTGTTTGGCCATAATGACCATCGTTATGTTTGGAGGAAAAAGGGGGTGGCTTGCAAGCCGAAGAACACCATCCCAACCATAAAGCACGGGGGTGGCAGCATCATGCTGTGGGGGTGCTTTGCTGCAGGAGGGTCTGGTGCACTTCACAAAATAGATGGCATCATGAGGAAGGAAAATAATGTGGATATGTTGAAGCAACATCTCAAGACATCAGTCAGAAAGTTAAAGCTTGGTCGCAAATGGGTCTTCCAAATGGACAATGACCCCAAGGATACTTCCAAATTTGTTCCAAAATGGCTTAAGGACAACAAAGTCAAGGTATTGGAGTGGCCATCACAAAGCCTTGACCTCAATCCTATAGAAAATATGTGAGCAGAACTGAAAAAGCGTGTGCGAGCAAGGAGGCCTACAAACCTGACTCAGTTACACCAGCTCTGTCAGGAGGAATGGGCCAAAATTCACCCAACTTATTGTGGGAAGCTTGTGGAAGGCTACCCGAAACGTTTGACCCAAGTTAAACAAATTAAAGGCAATGCTACCAAATACTAATTGAGTGTATGTAAACTTCTGACCCACTGGGAATGTGATGAAAGAAATAAAAGCTGAAATAAATCATTCTCTCTACTATTATTCCTACATTTCACATTCTTAAAATAAAGTGGTGATCCTAGCTGACCTAAGACAGGGAATTTTTACTAGGATAAAATGTCAGGAATTGTGAAAAACTGAGTTTAAATGTATTTGGCTAAGGTGTATGTAAACTTCAGACTTCAACTGTAGCCTCCCTACTGTTATTATATTTTAATTATTTGTTATTTTCATTTTTTACTTATCTATGTTTTACTTAACACTTATTTTTCTTAAAACTGCATTGTTGGTTAAGTGTGAATAAACACAAACATAGACACAGATACGTGATAACATACGCACTATACACACACGTACACATGGATGTTGTGTTATAGATATGGGGTAGTAGAGTAGAGGCCTGAGGGCACATACTTAATATGTTGTGAAATCTGTTATGAACGTATTGTAATGTTTTTTAAAATGTATAACTGCCTTAATTTTGCTGGACCTCAGGAATAGTAGCTGCTGCTTTGACTGTAACCCCACTGTAGTCTAGTAGTGTAACCTCACTGTAGTCTAGTAGTGTAACCCCACTGTAGTCTAGTAGTGTAACCCCACTGTAGTCTAGTAGTGTAACCTCACTGTAGTCTAGTAGTGCTAACCTCACTGTAGTCTAGTAGTGTTAACCCACTGTAGTCTAGTAGTGTAACCTCCAACTGTAGTCTAGTAGGTAACCTCCACTGTAGTCTAGTAGTGTAACCTCACTGTAGTCTAGTAGTGTAACCCCACTGTAGTCTAGTATGTGTAAACCCCACTGTAGTCTAGTAGTGTAACCCCACTGTAGTCTAGTAGTGTAACCTCACTGTAGTCTAGTAGTGTAACCCCCACTGTAGTCTATAGTGTAACCCCCACTGTAGTCTATTAGTGTAACCTCACTGTAGTCTAGTAGTGTAACCCTCACTGTAGTCTAGTAGTGTAACCTCACTGTAGTCTAGTAGTGTAACCTCACGGTCTAGTAGTGTACCCCACGTAGTCTAGTAGTGTAAACCCCCACTGTAGTCTAGTAGTGTAACCTCCACTGTAGTCTAGTAGTTGTAACCCACTGTAGTCTAGTAGTGTAACCCCACTGTAGTCTAGTATGTGTAACCCACTGTAGTCTAGTAGTGTAACCTCACTGTAGTCTAGTAGTGTAACCCTCACTGTAGTCTATAGTGTAAACCCCACTGTAGTCTAGTAGTGTAACCCCAACTGTAGTCTAGTAGTGTAACCCACTGTAGTCTAGTAGTGTAACCTCACTGTAGTCTAGTAGTGTAACCCTCACTGTAGTCTAGTAGTGTAACCTCACTGTAGTCTAGTAGTGTACACCTCACTGTAGTCTAGTAGTGTACCTCACTGTAGTCTAGTAGTGTAACCCTCACTGTAGTCCTAGTAGTGTAACCTCACTGTAGTCTAGTAGTGTAACCTCACTGTAGTCTAGTATGTAACCTCACTGTAGTCTAGTAGTGGTAACCCCACTGTAGTCTAGTAGTGTAACCTCACTGTAGCCTAGTAGTGTAACCTCACTGTAGTCTAGTAGTGTAACCCTCACTGTAGTCTAGTAGTGTAACCCCACTGTAGTCTAGTAGTGTAACCTCACTGTAGTCTAGTAGTGTAACCTCACTGTAGTCTAGTAGTGTAACCTCACGGTAGTCTAGTAGTGTAACCTCACTGTAGTCTAGTAGTGTAACCTCACTGTAGTCTAGTAGTGTAACCCTCACTGTAGTCCTAGTAGTGTAACCTCAACTGTAGTCTAGTAGTGTAACCTCACTGTAGTCTAGTAGTGTAACCCCACTGTAGTCTAGGTAGTGTAACCCTCACTGTAGTCTAGTAGTGTAACCTCCACTGTAGTCTAGTAGTGTAACCCACTGTAGTCTAGTAGTGTAACCTCACTGTAGTCTAGTAGTGTAACCCACTGTAGTCTAGTAGTGTAACCCCACTGTAGTCTAGTAGTGTAACCTCACTGTAGTCTAGTAGTGTAACCCCACTGTAGTCTAGTAGTGTAACCTCACTGTAGTCTAGTAGTGTAACCTCACTGTAGTCTAGTAGTGTAACCCACTGTAGTCTAGTAGTGTAACCTCACTGTAGTCTAGTAGTGTAACCTCACTGTAGTCTAGTAGTGTAACCTCACTGTAGTCTAGTAGTGTAACCCCACTGTAGTCTAGTAGTGTAACCTCACTGTAGTCTAGTATGTAACCTCAATACTCAGTAGTCTAGTAGTGTAACCTCACTGTAGTCTAGTAGTGTAACCTCATGTAGTCCTAGTAGTGTAACCTCACTGTAGTCTAGTAGTGTAACCTCACTAGTCAGTAGTGAACTCAGATCTAGTAGGTTAACCCCACTGTAGTCTAGTAGTGTAACCTCACTGTAGTCTAGTAGTGTAACCTCACTGTAGTCTAGTAGTGTAACCCACTGTAGTCTAGTAGTGTAACCTCACTGTAGTCTAGTAGTGTAACCCCACTGTAGTCTAGTAGTGTAACTCACTGTAGTCTAGTAGTGTAACCCCACTGTAGTCTAGTAGTGTAACCTCACTGTAGTCTAGTAGTGTAACCCCACTGTAGTCTAGTAGTGTAACCTCACTGTAGTCTAGTAGTGTAACCCCACTGTAGTCTAGTAGTGTAACCTCACTGTAGTCTAGTAGTGAACCTCACTGTAGTCTAGTAGTGTAACCCCCCACTGTAGTCTAGTAGTGTAACCCCACTGTAGTCTAGTAGTGTAACCCCACTGTAGTCTAGTAGTGTAACCCCACTGTAGTCTAGTAGTGTAACTCACTGTAGTCTAGTAGTGGAACCTCACTGTAGTCCAGTAGTGTAACCTCCCTGTAGTCAGTAGTGTAACCTCACTGTAGTCTAGTAGTGTTACCTCACTGTAGTCTAGTAGTGTAACCTCACTGTAGTCTAGTGTGTAACCTCACTGTAGTCTAGTAGTGTAACCTCACTGTAGTCTGTAGTGTAACCCCACTGTAGTCTAGTAGTGTAACCCCACTGTAGTCTAGTAGTGTAACCTCACTGTAGTCTAGTAGTGTAACCTCACTGTAGTCTAGTAGTGTAACCTCACTGTAGTCTAGTAGTGTAACCTCACTGTAGTCTAGTAGTGTAACCCCACTGTAGTCTAGTAGTGTAACCTCACTGTAGTCTAGTAGTGTAACCTCACTGTGTCTAGTAGTGTAACCTCACTGTAGTCTAGTAAGTGTAACCTCCACTGTAGTCTAGTAGTGTAACCCCACTGTAGTCTAGTAGTGTAACCCCACTGTAGTCTATAGTGTAAACCTCACTGTAGTCTAGTAGTGTAACCCCACTGTAGTCTAGTAGTGTAACACCCCTGTAGTCTAGTAGTGGTAACCCCACTGTAGTCTAGTAGTGTAACCCCACTGTAGTCTAGTAGTGTAACCTCACTGTAGTCTAGTAGTGTAACCCACTGTAGTCTAGTAGTGTAACCCCCACTGTAGTCTAGTAGTGTAACCTCACTGTAGTCTAGTAGTGTAACCCACTGTAGTCTAGTAGTGTAACCCCACTGTAGTCTAGTAGTGTAACCTCACTGTAGTCTAGTAGTGTAACCCCACTGTAGTCTAGTAGTGTAACCTCACTGTAGTCTAGTAGTGTAACCTCACTGTAGTCTAGTAGTGTAACCCCACTGTAGTCTAGTAGTGTAACCCCACTGTAGTCTAGTAGTGTAACCCCACTGTAGTCTAGTAGTGTAACCTCACTGTAGTCTAGTAGTGTAACCTCACTGTAGTCTATAGTGTAACCCCACTGTAGTCTAGTAGTGTAACCCCACTGTAGTCTATAGTGTAACCCTCACTGTAGTCTAGTGGTGTAACCTCACTGTAGTCTAGTAGTGTAACCCCACTGTAGTCTAGTAGTGTAACCCACTGTAGTCTAGTAGTGTAACCTCACTGTAGTCTAGTAGTGTAACCTCACTGTAGTCTAGTAGTGTAACCTCACTGTAGTCTAGTAGTGTAACCTCACTGTAGTCTAGTAGTGTAACCCCACTGTAGTCTAGTAGTGTAACCCCACTGTAGTCTAGTAGTGTAACCTCACTGTAGTCTAGTAGTGTAACCCCACTGTAGTCTAGTAGTGTAACCTCACTGTAGTCTAGTAGTGTAACCCCACTGTAGTCTAGTAGTGTAACCTCACTGTAGTCTAGTAGTGTAACCTCACTGTAGTCTAGTAGTGTAACCTCACTGTAGTCTAGTAGTGTAACCCCACTGTAGTCTAGTAGTGTAACCCCACTGTAGTCTAGTAGTGTAACCTCACTGTAGTCTAGTAGTGTAACCCCACTGTAGTCTAGTAGTGTAACCTCACTGTAGTCTAGTAGTGTAACCTCACTGTAGTCTAGTAGTGTAACCTCACTGTAGTCTAGTAGTGTAACCCCACTGTAGTCTAGTAGTGTAACCTCGCTGTTGCCTACATACAGCATCTTCTAGTCTTTCTAGATTCCACATCATCTGCTACTACTATGAGTGTGAGGATGATCTGGGCTGTATTAGAAAGGAGAAGGCTGTTTGATTGGCCTTCTAAGGGGGCAGTCAGTTTGACCCTGTAGAGGCAATTAGTAAGTGCTCTTTCATCTTCCTATGTCTTACATTGGAGATTGTCAGATTTTTCCCCTAGCCTGATCCCAAAACTTAGTAACGATATCTTCAGTTTGTCTCAATACAAGCCTATTATTTTCATGATTTCTTATTCGTTGTCATCGGCATTTCACTGAACTGCAATCTAGGAGCACCATCCTCTCCTTGACTGTCCTACTGTATTATTTTTTTACATTTATCACATAGTCAATAAGTATTGCATGTATCACAGCTTATCACATAGCTTTACATGTATCATATAGCTTTACATGTATCATATAGCTTTACATGTATCATATAGCTTTACATGTATCATATAGCTTTACATGTATCATATAGCTTTACATGTATCATATAGCTTTACATGTATCATATAGCTTTACATGTATCATATAGCTTTACATGTATCACATAGCTTTACGTGTATCATATAGCTTTACATGTATCATATAGCTTTACATGTATCATATAGCTTTACATGTATCATATAGCTTTACATGTATCATATAGCTTTACATGTATCATATAGCTTTACATGTATCATATAGCTTTACATGTATCATATAGCTTATGTGCCAAGTTCTGCCAATCCTGCTACATCTGGATGCTCCCTCATGGCCCATCTGTCTCCATCACATATACATAACTGTTAGTAGCGTCCTCTCTCTCCAGCTCAGCCCTGACATCACAATGACAAGTCAGAAGAGGACTTCTCTACACGTTGCTTTAGAACACTCTGACCTTCTCCCAACTCTCATTGGTCAATCCCTCCCTTCCTGGAGTTCTCTGGTTGCTGTGGTGAATGGCTGGCTAGAGTAGTGTCCACTGGCCATCTCAGCTAGTCTGATCAACTTTCCATCCCTTGGTGCTACTCAAACTGAAGACTAACCCCAAACCCTTTTTATATTTGCAGTGAATGCTGGTTAAGTATCTTATTATGTATAAAATAGGTTCACATCAGGAAAAGTATTTGTCTTCTTCTGATGGTTAGTGGTGCAGGTGGTTTTAACCTGCGGTTATCCCAGGGTTGGTTAGGCAGTCATACAGGCCTGACGCCAGTCCAGTCTCTCTCTCCCTCCATCTCTCCCTCCATCTCTCCCTCCATCTCTCCCTCCCTCCATCTCTCCCTCCATCTCTCCCTCCATCTCTCCCTCCATCTCTCCCTCCGTATCCGTTCAGTGAAGAGATTGTCTCCTCCGCTCAACTCCGTGCTCTCCTCAAGAGGGAGGTATTATGGGCCTGATGCCAGCCCCCTCTTTCTAGTGGGACCAACTCTCTCTCCTCAGTGGCTGGAGAGAAGAGCGTCTCCTCCGCTCCGCTCTGACCCCTCTGAGGTCAAACAGCGATCTCAGAGAGTTAACGCCCAGGAACACTAGCTACGGTTATCTCTCTGGTCGGTGGTCCTCGGAGGAACGGGAGGGGGGCAATACATAAACACCTTCTTAGGGGGTTGGGGCTGGAGGCTGGGGAGCGAGGTCAGTGGGAGTACTGAGTCCTGTCCACCTCTCTCCTCCCTGTCCTCATCCCTCTCTCCCAGGCTCAGCCCAGGTCACCTGTATTGGAACAGACCTCTGTAAGCCTGGGGGATCTTCTCCAGCTCCACAGGCCGAGGCAGGAAGTGGGTTAGTTTCTGGTGTTTCTTAGTCCGGCCCCCCTCCCGCGGCGAGCCGTCCTTGTTAAGCGCTACGTAGTAGAAGCGTCCGGTGTCGTTGTGTTTGTAGAGCGTGGAGGCGTATGTGTTGTACCAGTTCTCCTCAAACTGCTCTCTGAACACACACTCAGATGTTAACTTCTGCTGCGGAAGAGAGGGAGAGATGGTTGAGTGTGGTGTCCATACAGTAGCTTAATTAGCACTTAATTCATGGATTAGTTCATTTATACGTCATTCATATTTTACCAACAGTTTGAGGAGGAAACTTCACAGCAACAGATTCACTACACAATAATCAACAACAAAGAGCTGCTGAGGGGGTGAGAGAAGGTAAGAAGGGGGACTAAAGGACAGGACGCCTGCTGCCCTGTGGTGGGGTGCCTAGGTCCACCATCAGAAGGGGGACTAAAGGAGAGGACGCCTGCTGCCCTGTGGTGGGGAGCCTAGGTCCACCATCAGAAGGGGGACTAAAGGACAGGACGCCTGCTGCCCTGTGGTGGGGTGCCTAGGTCCACCATCAGAAGGGGGACTAAAGGAGAGGACGCCTGCTGCCCTGTGGTGGGGAGCCTAGGTCCACCATCAGAAGGGGGACTGAAGGACAGGACGCCTGCTGCCCTGTGGTGGGGAGCCTAGGTCCACCATCAGAAGGGGGACTAAAGGAGAGGACGCCTGCTGCCCTGTGGTGGGGAGCCTAGGTCCACCATCAGAAGGGGGACTAAAGGAGAGGACGCCTGCTGCCCTGCGGTGGGGTGCCTAGGTCCACCATCAGAAGGGGGACTAAAGGACAGGACGCCTGCTGCCCTGTGGTGGGGAGCCTAGGTCCACCATCAGAAGGGGGACTAAAGGACAGGACGCCTGCTGCCCTGCGGTGGGGAGCCTAGGTCCACCATCAGAAGGGGGACTGAAGGACAGGACGCCTGCTGCCCTGTGGTGGGGAGCCTAGGTCCACCATCAGAAGGGGGACTAAAGGAGAGGACGCCTGCTGCCCTGCGGTGGGGAGCCTAGGTCCACCATCAGAAGGGGGACTAAAGGAGAGGACGCCTGCTGCCCTGTGGTGGGGAGCCTAGGTCCACCATCAGAAGGGGGACTAAAGGAGAGGACGCCTGCTGCCCTGCGGTGGGGTGCCTAGGTCCACCATCAGAAGGGGGACTAAAGGAGAGGACGCCTGCTGCCCTGCGGTGGGGTGCCTAGGTCCACCATCAGCTGAACTGAACCAATGGAAAGTGTTCCAGGTCTGGGAGGCAGGTGCTGGTTATGACAGACCAGGGAGGCCGCGTCCCAAATGGTACCCTGTCACCTTTATAGTGCACTACTTTAGACCACGGTCACCTTTAAACCGCACTACTTTAGACCACGGCCCAGAGGTCTCTGGGCAACAGTAAATGCACCATATAGGGAATATGGTGTCATTTGGGACGCGGCCTGAGAGTCATTTCATCCAGACTGTTACAGGTGTCAAACTCATTCCACGGAGGGCCGGGTTGCTGCGGGTTTTTACTCCTCCCTTGTACTTGATTATGGTCACTGATAGGTAAGGAACTCCCCTCACCTGGTTGTCTAGGTCTTAGTAAGGAACTCCCCTCACCTGGTTGTCTAGGTCTTAGTAAGGAACTCCCCTCACCTGGTTGTCTAGGTCTTAGTAAGGAACTCCCCTCACCTGGTTGTCTAGGTCTTAGTAAGGAACTCCCCTCACCTGGTTGTCCAGGTCTTAGTAAGGAACTCCCCTCACCTGGTTGTCTAGGTCTTAGAAAGGAACTCCCCTCACCTGGTTGTCCAGGTCTTAGTAAGGAACTCCCCTCACCTGGTTGTCTTGGTCTTAGTAAGGAACTCTCCACACCTGGTTGTCTAGGTCTTAGTAAGGAACTCTCCACACCTGGTTGTCTAGGTCTTAGTAAGGAACTCCCCTCACCTGGTTGTCTAGGTCTTAGTAAGGAACTCCCCTCACCTGGTTGTCTAGGTCTTAGTAAGGAACTCCCCTCACCTGGTTGTCTAGGTCTTAGTAAGGAACTCCCCTCACCTGGTTGTCTAGGTCTTATTAAGGAACTCCCCTCACCTGGTTGTCTAGGTCTTAGTAAGGAACTCCCCTCACCTGGTTGTCTAGGTCTTAGTAAGGAACTCCCCTCACCTGGTTGTCTAGGTCTTAGTAAGGAACTCCCCTCACCTGGTTGTCTAGGTCTTAGTAAGGAACTCCCCTCACCTGGTTGTCTAGGTCTTAGTAAGGAACTCCCCTCACCTGGTTGTCTAGGTCTTAGTAAGGAACTCCCCTCACCTGGTTGTCTAGGTCTTAGTAAGGAACTCCCCTCACCTGGTTGTCTAGGTCTTAGTAAGGAACTCTCCACACCTGGTTGTCTAGGTCTTAGTAAGGAACTCCCCTCACCTGGTTGTCTAGGTCTTTCAGTGAAACCTGCAGACACTAGGCCCTACGTGGAATGAGTTTGACACCCATAGTTTAGAGTTTACACCCAGAAATCCCTCAGCTAGTGGACAGTTAGACATTTACTGGGGTGGGCCAAAATAGGGGAGGGTTGTAAAAAGTTTTCTTTGCTTTGGAGAGGGTAGTGTATTTTAATTGGTCAAAGGGGAGGGTATTGTGTTTTAATTGGTCAAAGGGGAGGGTATTGTGTTTTAATTGGTCAAAGGGGAGGGTAGTGTATTTTTATTGGTCACAGGGGAGGGTAGTGTGTTTTTATTGGTCACAGGGGAGGGTAGTGTGTTTTTCCCTGGTTTACATTGACTCTTCAGGTTTTACTAGATCTTCATTTCTTCCATTCAGTCCTCATCTGCTTGCATGCTCCTCCCCTATATCAAGGTGTTTTGCTACTTCCTTTTTATGAACTGGGCTTTTCCATGTCCTAACTTTTACTATACCACAGGTCAATATAGTCTACCAGTCTACCAGTCTACCAGTCTACCAGTATAACTGTCTACCAGTCTACCAGTCTACCAGTCTACCAGTCTACCAGTCTACCAGTATAACTGTCTACCAGTCTACCAGTCTACCAGTCTACCAGTCTACCAGTCTAACTGTCTACCAGTCTACCTGTCTACCAGTCTAACTGTCTACCAGTCTACCAGTCTACCAGTCTACCAGTCTACCAGTATAACTGTCTACCAGTCTACCAGTCTACCAGTCTACCAGTATAACTGTCTACCAGTCTACCAGTCTACCAGTCTACCAGTCTACCAGTCTAACGCTCTATCCTGTCTAACTGTCTACCTGTCTACCAGTCTACCTGTCTACCAGTCTAGTCACCCCTAACCAGTCTAACCAGTCTCCCAGTTCGACCGGTTCTAACGCTCTATCCCCTGTCTAACTGTCCTACCATGTCTACCAAGTCTAACCTGTCTACCAGTCTACCTGTCCTAACCCCAGTCTACCTTTCTACCAGTCTACCGTTCTACCAGTCTAACTCTCTAATCCCTGTCTACCCAGTCCTACCATGTCTACTACCAGTCTACCTGTTCCTACCAGTCTATACCGTTCTACCAGTCTACCAGTCCTCAACCAGTCTACCAGTATAACTGTGATTCACAGGTGATAGGCAGTGGATAGGGTCCGGTGATAGGAAGGTGGAGAGGTCTCAGGGTGATGAGGCCAGTGGAGAGGTCAGGTTGATAGGAAGTGCGAGAGGGTCAGGTGATAGGAAGTGGAGAGGTCAGGTGATAGGCAGTGGAGAGGTCCAGGTGATAGGAAGTGGAGAGGGGTCAGGGTGAACGGCAGTGGAGAGGTCAGGTGATAGGAAGTGGAGAGGTCAGGTGATAGGCAGTGGAGAGGTCAGGTGATAGGAAGTGGAGAGGTCAGGTGATAGGCAGCGGAGAGGTCAGGTGATAGGAAGTGGAGAGGTCAGGTGATAGGCAGTGGAAAGGTCAGGTGATAGGAAGTGGAGAGGTCAGGTGATAGGAAGTGGAGAGGTCAGGTGTATCACTGAGCAAGATGAAACCAAAATATAACTTTTTGGTAAAAACTCAACTCGTCGTGTTTGGAGGACAAAGAATGCTGAGTTGCATCCAAAGAACACCATACCTACTGTGAAGCATGGGGGTGGAAACATCATGCTTTGGGGCTGTTTTTCTGCAAAGGGACCAGGACGATTGATCTGTGTAAAGGAAAGAATGAATGGGGCCATGTATCGTGAGATTTTGAGTGAAAACCTCCTTCCATCAGCAAGGGCATTGAAGATGAAACGTGGCTGGGTCTTTCAGCATGAAAATGATCCCAAACACACCGCCCGGGCAACGAAGGAGTGGCTTCGTAAGAAGCATTTCAAGGTCCTGGAGTGGCCTAGCCAGTCTCCAGATCTCAACCCCATAGAAAATCTTTGGAGGGAGTTGAAAGTCCGTGTTGCCCAGCGACAGCCCCAAAACATCACTGCTCTAGAGGAGATCTGCATGGAGGAATGGGCCAAAATACCAGCAACAGTGTGTGAAAACCTTGTGAAGACTTACAGAAAACGTTTGACCTGTGTCATTGCCAACAAAGGGTATATAACAAAGTATTGAGAAACTTTTGTTATTGACCAAATACTTATTTTCCACCATAATTTGCAAATAAATTCATTAGAAATCCTACAATGTGATTTTCTGGATTTTTTTTTCTCATTTTGTCTGTCATAGTTGGCGTGTACCTATGATGAAAATTACAGGCCTCTCTCATCTTTTTAAGTGGGAGAACTTGCACAATTGGTGGCTGACTAAATACTTTTTTTCCCCACTGTATATTAATCACGCATTGAACTACATCCATCTATTCTGCCAACAATGCCTTAGTGTACGTAATGGAACGTTGAGTCAAATAGAACCTATTTTTAAAACCTCTTATAAAGTTGGTTTTGTAGCATAAAATGGGAATTTGATATTTTTGACTGATATTATGATTGTCTGTCTGTTTCATATCTGCAAAGTAGTTAAAACGCTGTCAGATCCACTTTAAAAAAGCTAGTGTAGCCTGAAAGGTACGCTAACGGCACAGCTAACCTTCTCCATGGAAAGAAGGAGCCGACAGAGAAACAAGCATAAGGACACCAACTCAGGACCAGAGGAGACACCTGTATTTGTATTTGTATTTATTAAGGATCCCCGTTAGGTGCTGACAAGGCAGCAGGTACTCTTCCTGGGGTCCTGCAACATTAAGGCAGTTATATATCATTTAAAATATTACACGACATTACATTTCATAACACTTTTCACAACACATTAAGTGTGTTCCCTCAGGCCACTACTGTATTTTCACATATCTACAATACAACATCCATGTGTACGTGTGTGTAGAGGGCGTGTCTTATCATGTGTACAGTGCATTCGGAAAGTATTCAGACCCCTTGACTTTTCCATATTTTGTTACGTTACAGCCTTATTCTAAAATTGAATGTATTTATTTTTTGCTCATCAATCTACCCCATAATGACAAAGCGAAAACAGGTTTTTGGAAATGTTTGCAAATTTATTAAAAATTAAAAACAGAAATAACTTATTTACATAAGTATTCAGACCCTTTGCTATGAGACTCGAAATTGAGCTCAGATGCATCTTGTTTCCATTGATCATCCTTGAGATGTTTCTACAACTTGATTGGAGTCCACCTGTGGTCAATTCAATTGATTGGACATGATTTGGAAAGGCACACACCTGTCTATATAAGGTCCCACAGTTGACAGTGCATGTCAGAGCAAAAACCAAGCCATGAGGTCGAAGGAATTGTCCGTAGAGCTTTGAGACAGGATTGTGTCGAGGTACAGATCTGGGGAAGGGTAACAAAACATTTCTGAAGCGTTGAAGGTTCCCAAGAACTCTGTGCCCTCCATCATTCTTAAATGGATGAAGTTTGGAACCACCAAGACTCTTCCTAGAGCTGGCCGCCCGGCCAAACTGAGCAATCGGGGGAGAAGGGCCTTGGTCAGGAAGGTGACCAAGAACCCGATGGTCACTCTGACAGAGCTCCAGAGTTCCTCTGTGGAGATGGGGAGAACCTTCCAGAAGGACAACCATCTCTGCAGCACTCCACCAATCAGGCCTTTATGGTAGAGTGGCCAGACGGAAGCCACTCCTCAGTAAAAGGCACATGACAGCCCGCTTGGAGTTTGCCAAAAGGCACCTAAAGGACTCTCAGACCATGAGAAACAAGATTCTCTGGTCTGATGAAACCAAGATTGAACTATTTTGCCTGAATGCCAAGCGTCACGTCTGGAGGAAACCTGGCACCATCCCTACGGTGAAGCACGGTGGTGGCAGCATCATGCTGTGGGGATGTTTTCAGTGGCAGGGACTGGGAGACTAGTCAGGATCGAGGGAAAGATGAACGGAGCAAAGTACAGAGAGATCCTTGATGAAAACCTGCTCCAGAGCGCTCAGGACCTCAGACTGGGGCAAAGGTTCACCTTCCAACAGGACAACAACCCTAAGCATACGGCCAAGACAACGCAAGAGTGGCTTCGGGACAAGTCTCTGAATGTCCTTGAGTGGCCCAGCCAGAGCCCGGACTTGAACCTGATCGAACATCTCTGGCGAGACCTGAAAATAGCTGTGCAGCGACGCTCCCCATCAAACCTGACAGAGCTTGAGAGGATCTGCAGAGAAGAATGGGAGAAACTCCCCAAATACAGGTGTGCCAAGCTTGTAGCGTCATACCCAAGAAGACTTGAGGCTGTAATCGCTGCCAAAGGTGCTTCAACAAAGTATTGAGTAAAGGGTTTTAATATTTATGTAAATGTGATATGTTTTTTTATTTGTTAATAAATTAACAAATATTTATAAAAACCTGTTTTTGCTTTGTCATTATGGGGTATTGTGATTGATGATGGTAAAAACTATTTAATCCATTTTAGAATAAGGCTGTAACATAATAAAATGTGGAAAAAGTCAAGGGGTCTGAATACTTTGCAAATGCACTGCATATATAAAGGTTTCTGTACCAAATATTAAGTTCTGCTTTTCTGATGTATCAAATATTTATGTCATGCAATAAAATGCACATTAATTACTTAAAAATCATACAATGTGAATTTCTGGATTTCACAGTTGAAGTGTACCTATGATAAAAATTACAGACCTCTACATGCTTTGTAAGTAGGAAAACCTGCAAAATCGGAAGTGTATCAAATACTTGTTCTCCCCACTGTATGTTGATGATTTCATTCCTGTGCTATTTGTAACTACCCTGGTAGGTTGACTGATAACCTGAACCAGGTTGCAGGCACTGGTTACAGTTTGAAGCTTTCTCTTGAGTGGGCAGCCTAATGAAAACCAGTCAATATTTAAATCACCCAGAAAATATACCTCTCTGTTGATATCACATACAGTGATCATGTGTCATGCAATAAAATTCAAATTAATTACTTAAAAATCATACAATGTGATTTTCTGGATTTTTGTTTTAGATTCCGTCTCTCACAGTTGAAGTGTACCTATGATAAAAATTACAGACCTCTACATGCTTTGTAAGTAGGAAAACATGCAAAATCGGCAGTGTATCAAATACTTGTTCTCCCCACTGTATATTATCAAGCATTTCACACATGTTAGCCAGAAACTGAGTGTTAGCACTTGGTGGTCTATAGCAGCTTCCCACCAGAATGGGCTTTAGGTGAGGCCGATGAACCTGTAGCCATATTACTTCAACAGTATTTAACATGAGATCCTCTCTAAGCTTTACAGGAATGTGGTTCTGAATATAAACAGCAACACCTCCACCATTGGCATTTCTGTCTTTTCTGTAAATGTTATAACCTTGTATTGCTACCACTGTATCTGTCAAAAGAACCGATGTGGATGTGGTGGAGGAGTCAGGCGCAGGACACAGAGGATTCGTCCAAAAGACTTTACTAGTCCAAAGTGCAACAAAACAATACACGACCTCGAAAACAAACGGAGGCGAGGGAATTACGCAACATCTTCACAAAGAAGAAACTTGAGGAAACCGGGGAAGTGGAGGACCGTATGTATCCCTGTGCCAAGGACTCGGCTATGTAAGTCTCCATAGCCGCTGTCTCCTCTTGAGACAGGGGATACACACGACTCCGTGGCAGAGCCGCTCCTGTTTGGAGGTTTATCGCACAGTCCCCCTGTCTATGAGGTGGTAGCCGTGTTGCCCTAGTCTTGCTGAACACAAGTGCTAAGTCCTCATACTCAGGGGGAATGCGCATTGCGGGCACTTGGTTCGGACTCTCAACCGAGGTCGCCCCTAAGGAAACACCTAGACATCTCCCTACACACTGGGCAGACCACTCCATAAGAGCCCTCTGTTGCCACGCAATGGTAGGATCATGGGTGCTTAACCAGGGAAGCCCCAACACCACGGGGTACGCAGGAGAGTCAATCAGATAAAACTGAATGATCTCCTCATGACCCCCCTGCGTCGTCATAGTAAGTGGTGCTGTGACTTCTCTGATCAGCCCCGACCCCAACGGCCGGCTGTCTAAGGCGTGGACAGGAAAGGGGGCTTCTACCGGCCGAAGGGGAATTCCAAACCTATAACAAAATGCCCGATCAATAAAATTCCCAGCTGCGCCTGAATCTACTAGCGCCTTATGCTGGGAATGAGGTGCCACCAGTGGAAATCTCACAGGAATACTCATGTGACCAACAGAAAGCTCTGGGTGAGTGGGGCGCCTACTCACCTGAAATGACTCCCCAGTGCGTGACCTGTTGTCCCCTCTCCCAGGAGACCCTCCCCAGCACCTGGCCGCGGTGTGTCCTCCACGGCCACAGCTGGTGCAGGGGGTGGCCCTCCTCGGGTTCTCTCTCCTCCTCTCTCTAGCGCCAGCACCCCCGAGCTCCATGGGAATCGGCTCGGAGGTGCTGGAGGGTGGAATGGTCGGCCCCCACTCGGGACGTCCGCGGGTAGCCAGCAGGGTGTCGAGACGGATGGAGATGTCCACCAACTGGTCGAATGATAGGTTGGTGTCCCTGCAGGCCAGCTCACGACGAACGTCCTCTCGTAGGCTGCACCGGTAATGGTCGATGAGGGCCCTCTCATTCCACCCCGCATCCGCCGCTAGCGTCCGGAACTCCAGTGCGAACTCCTGTGCGCTCCTCTTCCCCTGTCGGAGGTGGAACAGACGCTCCCCCGCCGCTTTCCCTTCAGGTGGGTGATCGAAGACAGCCCTGAAGCGGCGGGAGAACTCCGCGTAGGTGATGGTAGCGGCGTCTATTCCCCTCCATTCGGCGTTGGCCCACTCCAACGCCTTGCCGGATAGACAGGAGATGAGGGCGGAGACGCTCTCGTATCCCGAGGGCGCTGGGTGTATAGTAGCCAGGTAGAGTTCCACCTGCAGGAGGAACCCCTGACACCCGGCTGCAGAACCGTCACATGCCCTCGGGAGCGAGAGCCGAATGCCACTGGGTTCCGGTGCTGAGAGAGGAGGACTGGCCGTTGGTGATGGGATGGAGTAAGAAGGCGTGGGCACCTCTCCAGTCACCAACCGGCGCAGAGTGTTGGACACCTCGTCCATGGCGGCCCCAAGTTGCCGGATCATGGTGTCTTGGTAGCTGATCCGCTCTTCCAGCGACTTGGGTGCCGCCGCTGCTCCTGCTGACTCCATAGTTGGGTGTGTTGTTCTGTCAAAAGAACCGATGTGGATGTGGTGGAGGAGTCAGGCGCAGGACACAGAGGATTCGTCCAAAAGACTTTACTAGTCCAAAGTGCAACAAAACAATATACGACCTCGAAAACAAACGGAGGCGAGGGAATTACGCAACATGCGTAAAACAATAAACAAAACTAACAGAGCGCAAACACGCAGCTCCGCACGACAGGCAAACAACAACACACAATCTAACTAATACAAAACAGGGAACTTATAGGACACGTAATCAGAACACAAACAGACACAGGTGTACAAGACAGACTAAAGCAATCACACCACGAAACATACAACGGTGGCAGCTAGTACTCCGGGGACGGCGAACGCCGAAGCCTGCCCGAACCAGGAGGAGGAGCAGTCTCGGCCGAAACCGTGACAGTATCATCAAAGGTATTATCTAAGTGAGTTTCAGAGATTGTCAGAATATGAATCTCATCTATTATTAGCATTGGCGTTATTAGTTCTGATTCCTGTGACTAATCATTTTGGCTATTTAAGCTCTGAATATCAGCTACCCAACTTTATCAAGAGTTAGCTAGAGACGATTTGCAATGACAATCAATATGTTTACACAGCGGGAAATGCATAAGTATTTTATTTTTCACTATGATCATCTCATTTATGGATACAAACTTGAAACCACTCATTATTATGACAATTTAGCCCATGGGGGGAAACTCCTGGACAGCAGTTTTGAGTAGCCTGATTGTCCATTCCATATTGTCCATTTTACTTTGACCTGTCCTGTGTTTAGGATATGATGTTTGTTAATATGCCATATTCACATCGAAGTAGAGGAGAGGAGAGAGGAGAGGAGAGGCACCGAAGCGACGAACCCCCCTTGCTGTCTCTGCCTGGCCGGCTCCCCTCTCTCCACTGGGATTCTCTGTCTCTGACCCTATTACGGGGGCTGAGTCACTGGCTTACTAGTGCTCTTCCATGCCGTCCCTAGGAGGGGTCTTCCATGCTCTCAGGGTAGTAGGTTGGTGGGCTATACTCAGCCTTGTCTCAGGGTAGTAGGTTGGTGGGCTATACTCAGCCTTGTCTCAGGGTAGTAGGTTGGTGGGCTATACTCAGCCTTGTCTCAGAGTAGTAGGTTGGTGGGCTATACTCAGCCTTGTCTCAGGGTAGTAGGTTGGTGGGCTATACTCAGCCTTGTCTCAGGGTAGTAGGTTGGTGGGCTATACTCAGCCTTGTCTCAGGGTAGTAGGTTGGTGGGCTATACTCAGCCTTGTCTCAGGGTAGTAGGTTGGTGGGCTATACTCAGCCTTGTCTCAGGGTAGTAGGTTGGTGGGCTATACTCAGCCTTGACTCAGGGTAGTAGGTTGGTGGGCTATACTCAGCCTTGACTCAGGGTAGTAGGTTGGTGGGCTATACTCAGCCTTGACTCAGGGTAGTAGGTTGGTGGGCTATACTCAGCCTTGTCTCAGGGTAGTAGGTTGGTGGGCTATACTCAGCCTTGTCTCAGGGTAGTAGGTTGGTGGGCTATACTCAGCCTTGTCTCAGGGTAGTAGGTTGGTGGGCTATACTCAGCCTTGTCTCAGGGTAGTAGGTTGGTGGGCTATACTCAGCCTTGTCTCAGGGTAGTAGGTTGGTGGGCTATACTCAGCCTTGTCTAAGGGTAGTAGGTTGGTGGGCTATACTCAGCCTTGTCTCAGGGTAGTAGGTTGGTGGGCTATACTCAGCCTTGTCTCAGGGTAGTAGGTTGGTGGGCTATACTCAGCCTTGTCTCAGGGTAGTAGGTTGGTGGGCTATACTCAGCCTTGTCTAAGGGTAGTAGGTTGGTGGTCTGTTGATATCCCTCTGGTGGTGTGGGGGCTGTGCTTTGGCAAAGTGGGTGGGGTTATATCCTGCCTGGTTGGCCCTGTCCAGGGGTATCGTCGGACGGGGCCACAGTGTCTCCCGACCCCCCCTGTCTCAGCCTCCAGTATCTATGCTGCAATAGTCTATGTGCCGGGGGGCTGGGGTCAGTCTGTTATATCTGGTGTTATTTTCCTGTCTTATCTGGTGTCCTGTGTGAATTTAAGTATGCTCCCTCTAATTCTCTCTCTCTCCCTCCCCTCCTGGAGGACCTGAGCCCTAGGATCATGCCTCAGGACTACCTGGCCTGATGACTCCTGGCTGTCCCCAGTCCACCTGGTCGTGCTGCTGCTCCAGTTCCAACTGTTCTGCCTGCAGCTATGGAACCCTGACCTGTTCACCGGACGTGCTACCTTGTCCCAGAGGGAGGAAGGGAGGGAGGGAGGGAGGGAGGGAGGAAGGGAGGGAGGGAGGAGAGGAGAGGAGAGGAGAGGAGATGAGAGGAGAGGAGAGGAGAGGAGAGGAGAGGAGGAGTGTTTAACTTACCGACCCATAGAGCTCTCCTCTCTCGTTCATGCCCAGGTAGAGTCCTGCGTCCACTCCTCTAATGCTGACCAGCCCTACAGCCAGACTGATGAACTCTAGGATACCTGGAGAGGACAGACAACACCTGTCAGAGATAACACTGGCCAGACTGATGAACTCTAGGATACCTGGAGAGGACAGACAACACCTGTCAGAGATAGCACTGGCCAGACTGATGAACTCTAGGATACCTGGAGAGGACAGACAACACCTGTCAGAGATAGCACTGGCCAGACTGATGAACTCCAGGATACCTGGGGAGGACAGACAACACCTGTCAGAGATAGCACTGGCCAGACTGATGAACTCTAGTATACCTGGAGAGGACAGACAACACCTGTCAGAGATATGGCTTAACTTATAGCACTGGCCAGACTGATGAACTCTAGGATACCTGGGGAGGACAGACAACACCTGTCAGAGATATGGCTTAACTTATAGCACTGGCCAGACTGATGAACTCTAGGATACCTGGGGAGGACAGACATCACCTGTCAGAGATATGGCTTAACTTATAGCACTGGCCAGACTGATGAACTCTAGGATACCTGGAGAGCACACAGACAACACCTGTCAGAGATATGGCTTAACTTATAGCACTGGCCAGACTGATGAACTCTAGGATACCTGGGGAGGACACAGACAACACCTGTCAGAGATAGCACTGGCCAGACTGATGAACTCTAGGATACCTGGAGAGGACAGACAACACCTGTCAGAGATATGGCTTAACTTATAGCACTGGCCAGACTGATGAACTCTAGGATACCTGGGGAGGACAGACAACACCTGTCAGAGATATGGCTTAACTTATAGCACTGGCCAGACTGATGAACTCTAGGATACCTGGGGAGGACACAGACAACACCTGTCAGAGATAGCACTGGCCAGACTGATGAACTCTAGGATACCTGGAGAGGACAGACAACACCTGTCAGAGATAACACTGGCCAGACTGATGCACTCTAGGATACCTGGAGAGGACAGACAACACCTGTCAGAGATAGCACTGGCCAGACTGATGAACTCTAGGATACCTGGAGAGGACAGACAACACCTGTCAGAGATAGCACTGGCCAGACTGATGAACTCTAGGATACCTGGAGAGGACAGACAACACCTGTCAGAGATAGCACTGGCCAGACTGATGAACTCTAGGATACCTGGAGAGGACAGACAACACCTGTCAGAGATAGCACTGGCCAGACTGATGAACTCTAGGATACCTGGGGAGGACAGACAACACCTGTCAGAGATAGCACTGGCCAGACTGATGAACTCCAGGATACCTGGAGAGGACAGACAACACCTGTCAGAGATAGCACTGGCCAGACTGATGAACTCTAGGATACCTGGAGAGGACAGACAACACCTGTCAGAGATAGCACTGGCCAGACTGATGAACTCTAGGATACCTGGAGAGGACAGACAACACCTGTCAGAGATATCACTGGCCAGACTGATGAACTCTAGGATACCTGGAGAGGACAGACAACACCTGTCAGAGATAGCACTGGCCAGACTGATGAACTCCAGGATACCTGGAGAGGACAGACAACACCTGTCAGAGATAGCACTGGCCAGACTGATGAACTCTAGGATACCTGGGGAGGACAGACAACACCTGTCAGAGATAGCACTGGCCAGACTGATGAACTCTAGGATACCTGGAGAGGACAGACAACACCTGTCAGAGATAGCACTGGCCAGACTGATGAACTCTAGGATACCTGGAGAGGACAGACAACACCTGTCAGAGATAGCACTGGCCAGACGGATGAACTCTAGGATACCTGGGGAGGACAGACAACACCTGTCAGAGATAGCACTGGCCAGACTGATGAACTCTAGGATACCTGGAGAGGACAGACAACACCTGTCAGAGATAGCACTGGCCAGACTGATGAACTCTAGGATACCTGGAGAGGACAGACAACACCTGTCAGAGATAGCACTGGCCAGACTGATGAACTCTAGGATACCTGGAGAGGACAGACAACACCTGTCAGAGATAGCACTGGCCAGACTGATGAACTCTAGGATACCTGGAGAGGACAGACAACACCTGTCAGAGATAGCACTGGCCAGACTGATGAACTCTAGGATACCTGGAGAGGACAGACAACACCTGTCAGAGATAGCACTGGCCAGACTGATGAACTCTAGGATACCTGGAGAGGACAGACAACACCTGTCAGAGATAGCACTGGCCAGACTGATGAACTCTAGGATACCTGGAGAGGACAGACAACACCTGTCAGAGATAGCACTGGCCAGACTGATGAACTCTAGGATACCTGGGGAGGACAGACAACACCTGTCAGAGATAGCACTGGCCAGACTGATGAACTCTAGGATACCTGGAGAGGACAGACAACACCTGTCAGAGATAGCACTGGCCAGACTGATGAACTCTAGGATACCTGGAGAGGACAGACAACACCTGTCAGAGATAGCACTGGCCAGACTGATGAACTCTAGGATACCTGGAGAGGACAGACAACACCTGTCAGAGATAGCACTGGCCAGACTGATGAACTCTAGGATACCTGGAGAGGACAGACAACACCTGTCAGAGATAGCACTGGCCAGACTGATGAACTCTAGGATACCTGGAGAGGACAGACAACACCTGTCAGAGATAGCACTGGCCAGACTGATGAACTCTAGGATACCTGGAGAGGACAGACAACACCTGTCAGAGATAGCACTGGCCAGACTGATGAACTCCAGGATACCTGGAGAGGACAGACAACACCTGTCAGAGATAGCACTGGCCAGACTGATGAACTCTAGTATACCTGGAGAGGACAGACAACACCTGTCAGAGATAGCACTGGCCAGACTGATGAACTCCAGGATACCTGGAGAGGACAGAATACACCTGTCAGAGATAGCACTGGCCAGACTGATGAACTCTAGGATACCTGGAGAGGACAGACAACCTGTCAGAGATAGCACTGGCCAGACTGATGAACTCTAGGATACCTGGAGAGGACAGACAACACCTGTCAGAGATAGCACTGGCCAGACTGATGAACTCCAGGATACCTGGAGAGGACAGACAACACCTGTCAGAGATAGCACTGGCCAGACTGATGAACTCTAGGATACCTGGAGAGGACAGACAACACCTGTCAGAGATAGCACTGGCCAGACTGATGAACTCCAGGATACCTGGAGAGGACAGAATACACCTGTCAGAGATAGCACTGGCCAGACTGATGAACTCCAGGATACCTGGAGAGGACAGACAACACCTGTCAGAGATAGCACTGGCCAGACTGATGAACCTAGTATACCTGGAGAGGACAGACAACACCTGTCAGAGATAGCACTGGCCAGACTGATGAACTCTAGGATACCTCGGGAGGACAGACAACACCTGTCAGAGATAGCACTGGCCAGACTGATGAACTCTAGGATACCTGGAGAGGACAGACAACACCTGTCAGAGATAGCACTGGCCAGACTGATGAACTCTAGGATACCTGGAGAGGACAGACAACACCTGTCAGAGATAGCACTGGCCAGACTGATGAACTCTAGGATACCTGGAGAGGACAGACAACACCTGTCAGAGATAGCACTGGCCAGACTGATGAACTCTAGGATACCTGGAGAGGACAGACAACACCTGTCAGAGATAGCACTGGCCAGACTGATGAACTCTAGGATACCTGGAGAGGACAGACAACACCTGTCAGAGATAGCACTGGCCAGACTGATGAACTCCAGGATACCTGGAGAGGACAGACAACACCTGTCAGAGATAGCACTGGCCAGACTGATGAACTCTAGTATACCTGGAGAGGACAGACAACACCTGTCAGAGATAGCACTGGCCAGACTGATGAACTCCAGGATACCTGGAGAGGACAGAATACACCTGTCAGAGATAGCACTGGCCAGACTGATGAACTCTAGGATACCTGGAGAGGACAGACAACACCTGTCAGAGATAGCACTGGCCAGACTGATGAACTCCAGGATACCTGGAGAGGACAGAATACACCTGTCAGAGATAGCACTGGCCAGACTGATGAACTCTAGGATACCTGGAGAGGACAGACAACACCTGTCAGAGATAGCACTGGCCAGACTGATGAACTCTAGGATACCTGGAGAGGACAGACAACACCTGTCAGAGATAGCACTGGCCAGACTGATGAACTCTAGGATACCTGGAGAGGACAGACAACACCTGTCAGAGATAGCACTGGCCAGACTGATGAACCTAGTATACCTGGAGAGGACAGACAACCCCTGTCAGAGATAGCACTGGCCAGACTGATGAACTCTAGGATACCTGGGGAGGACAGACAACACCTGTCAGAGATAGCACTGGCCAGACTGATGAACTCTAGGATACCTGGAGAGGACAGACAACACCTGTCAGAGATAGCACTGGCCAGACTGATGAACTCTAGGATACCTGGAGAGGACAGACAACACCTGTCAGAGATAGCACTGGCCAGACTGATGAACTCTAGGATACCTGGAGAGGACAGACAACACCTGTCAGAGATAGCACTGGCCAGACTGATGAACTCTAGGATACCTGGAGAGGACAGACAACACCTGTCAGAGATAGCACTGGCCAGACTGATGAACTCTAGGATACCTGGAGAGGACAGACAACACCTGTCAGAGATAGCACTGGCCAGACTGATGAACTCTAGGATACCTGGGGAGGACAGACAACACCTGTCAGAGATAGCACTGGCCAGACTGATGAACTCCAGGATACCTGGAGAGGACAGACAACACCTGTCAGAGATAGCACTGGCCAGACTGATGAACTCTAGGATACCTGGAGAGGACAGACAACACCTGTCAGAGATAGCACTGGCCAGACTGATGAACTCTAGGATACCTGGAGAGGACAGACAACACCTGTCAGAGATAGCACTGGCCAGACTGATGAACTCTAGGATACCTGGGGAGGACAGACAACACCTGTCAGAGATAGCACTGGCCAGACTGATGAAATCTATGATACCTGGAGAGGACAGACAACACCTGTCAGAGATAGCACTGGCCAGACTGATGAACTCTAGGATACCTGGAGAGGACAGACAACACCTGTCAGAGATAGCACTGGCCAGACTGATGAACTCTAGGATACCTGGAGAGGACAGACAACACCTGTCAGAGATAGCACTGGCCAGACTGATGAACTCTAGGATACCTGGAGAGGACAGACAACACCTGTCAGAGATAGCACTGGCCAGACTGATGAACTCTAGGATACCTGGAGAGGACAGACAACACCTGTCAGAGATAGCACTGGCCAGACTGATGAACTCCAGGATACCTGGAGAGGACAGACAACACCTGTCAGAGATAGCACTGGCCAGACTGATGAACTCTAGTATACCTGGAGAGGACAGACAACACCTGTCAGAGATAGCACTGGCCAGACTGATGAACTCCAGGATACCTGGAGAGGACAGAATACACCTGTCAGAGATAGCACTGGCCAGAC